GGTGAATGAAGTAGATGTTATCGAAGCTGCGNATAAATTATATCCAGTAGCACTTTGTATCCATATCATTGATTATAATTTATTATTTTGTTGGTAATCGTTTTAAAGTTTTATCCGGATAACAACTTCAATCATAAATAATTTAAACGAAAATTCTTATTCAAGTTCTACTTACACCCTACTTTGAAGTCTATTCTATACCAGGGGTTTCTTTCATTCTAAGGATAGATGTCACCTCTTCTCGAGTGGGTGAGCAATATTCCATTGTCGAATAGTTTTTTTCTACGAGGGTGATCTGAAATGTTTCCGACCTCAACATGAAGATTGCAGTACTCGTAAATGAAAGCTAGTTAATTTCGTTGTTCATCTGTTGGTAGTTACTCTCCAAAGTTTCATCCATTTTGGATGCGTAGTTGTTTGAGTGAGTTGACGTGAGTGTTTTATGAAAGTGGACAACATCGAGTATAGAACTGTCATTGATATTGTGTTTTTGCACGACAATACGCCTACGCAAATCAAAGGTGAGTGGGATTCAGAGTATGGGAAATCTGCACTATCATTCACCACAGTGAAATTTTGGGCAGCTTGAATGTAACCGCGGCCTTAGGTGCTTGAGAGACGATGAACGTTCAAGACGTCCAAAAACTGCAACTACCGATGAAAACATTAGCAAAGTTAACCAAATATTTTCAACTCTCTGTTGTCGCAGTTGAGGTGCAATGAATTCGAGTTTGGGCGCTGATTAATCACTGTAAGCATGCCCTGAAGCTGCTGGATTTCATCCAGAAAAGAACCATCCGCCTGATTGGAGACGAGAACATCACTTGCAATGCTTGATAGTCTGTAACATCGAAGAAATGTTGGAGATATATCTCTCTTCTTTCACAAAAAGTGTTCAAGTGACTTGGCACATTTAATTCCACCAAGAGCGATACATATCGGAAATACGAAAAGGACTGTGGCTGCTCATCGTTTTGAGGTTCAACTCAGAACACCTCGAACTTCACTGTTTGAGAACTCTTAAAGTTGTTTAAGAAGAAAATTTTTCCAAATGTATTCAGTTTACTGCGATTCAAATCCAATGTGAATAACTACTTTCGCACAATCACCGCTATTAGAGCGCCTTCAGGCCTTGAGAATTTTCATGTAGTCCTTGTTTTGTCCTTGAAAAAAAACTGTAGATGAAACTTGGATACACCATTACACGCCTGCAACAAAAATACAGTCCAAGCAGTGGACTGCAAAAGGGTTACCGGCTCCAAAAAAGCAAAAACTGTTTATTCGGCTGGAAAAGTGATGGCGACTGGTTTTTGGGATAGTCATGGAGTTATTTCAATCCATTATTTTCAAAAAAAAAAAACCACCAAAGTAGCATACTACGCATCATTACTTGACAAGCCGAAAACAGTATTTGCAAGAAAACTGTCACATTTGCAGAAAAAAAATCCCGTTCCATCAAGTCAGTGCACCGTCTCACACGTCAGCGGTTGCTGTCATGCCGAAAATCCACGAATTACGGTTTGAACTGCTTAACCATCCGCCTCACTCACCAGATTTAGCACCAAGTGACTTCTTTTTATTTCCTTATCTGAAATAAAGGGACAATCATCTTCGTAAGCCATCATTTTGCAGAGAAAAACGAGTTACAGAGATGAGAGCATCGATGGGAGAAGTTGAAAGGAGACTATGTTGGGAAATAAAAACAAATTGGAAAAAATGAATTGTATCTTTGTTAGGTCGGAAACTTTTCAAACCACCCTCGTTCTCTGTTTGTTTCGAATATTCGTTATGGAATTAAGTCATATGGCATCATTGGAAGCTACAAATTCTAAATGTGTTAACAGAAGTCCATAGCATCAAATCTAAGCGAGTTATGTTACCCCTTTCTCCGATAATAATCTCCACTGCTTCCATTTTGACTTCATTCGTGTACTTATATCATATTCCAAGAGAGGTTCATTGGTTTGAAGTACTTTTTCTACGGATGCTATACAATGTGCCACTTCTCTCATCGCTTTCATACGTTCAAAACGAATGATTTCTCACGCAGTGAGAAATATCCGCCATAACGATAACCCAAGTCAGTCATGAATTGTTACATTTCAGATTCATATGACACGTTCTCCATGTTGACAACGCTACGCCGACAATTCGCGTGCAATATCCAAGTAGCCCATTGTCGGTGTTTCCATAACACCAAAATCGAAGCTCTGCATAACTATTGCTGTCAACATACCCAACGAAAACAGTTTTATTGTTGATTGTTATAATATAAACAGTTCAGATTTATTAAATATTGAATATAATGGAATACGACGATTTAGAGTTGGAAAATACATCTCCAGAAATTGTTCAGAAAGCAATAGATGTTTGAAATAATTTGCTACCAAGCACATCAAGAGAAAAATATGAAATCGCTCACAGAAACTTTATGGACTGGAAAATGAAAGCCAAAGTAAATTCTTGTTGGTTTATTCTGAAGAGTTGACAAGAAGATTAAAATCATCAACATAATGGTCTCAGTACTTAATGCTGAGGAGTGCTTTAATTATCAAAAACTATGTTGATATATCAAAATACTACGTGCATTTTTAAAACGCAAATCTGAAAAATATGCGCCAAAACAGTCAAAAACAATAACTTCTGAAGAAATTCAACAATTTTTAAAAGATGCACCTGATGAAAAGTATTTGCTGATAAAGGAATGAATTGAAAATTTTTGAATTGTTATCGAAAAATGAATGTTTGGTTTTGATTTCAGGCTGCTTCAGCTATTGGCCTTAACAGGGGCATGCCGTTGTGATGAACTTCGAAAATTAAAAAATGATGACATGGAAGATCTTAATTCGGCCCTTTTAATAAAAACTCCCGATACTTATTTTCTCACTGGTTGTACAATATACTATAGTCTTTCATAGTACTTTTATAGAAAATTGATAGTCTATTTTTAATTTCAGCATTGATGAATGCACAGCAAAGCTTTATTTTGCGTATCATCATTCATTATTGAGTTATTCCAAAAAAAGACAATTTTGTGAGATTACAAAAACGTTATTTTCACTTCAAGATCTTTTTTTGTGACCGATCATCATCAGATTACAAGTATGAAAATGAAGTAGATTGTGGAATAATGGTAATCAGGAGGCGATCTTCACATGTGGCTACGGAAATAAGGATCATTACTCTCTCAGTTTTGATGATGAAGACTCTCATGAAAAATATGACTGAAAATTCTCTCAAGCACTTCAAGAAAGAGTGTATGAGATTGTTCCAAAAAATGTATCGTTTTTCGGTTACTTCTGGCATTTACTGAATAAAAACCAACTTTCTGCACGCTATAGACTTTCGTATTCAGTCTACAAATACTGTTAGTCCACAGTTTTTCGTTATTCATTCGCTACATTTTCACAAAAAAATATGTTTTTGATAAAATACTTACTTTTTGAGTATTTATCGAAAAACTGTGTGGAAACGAGGGTTTTTTGGTTAAAAGATTGACACTTTCACTCGAGAATGATTCGAGACGTGTCAACTTCCATATACTTTACAATGTAACATTTTTGACCCACAATAAGAGTTAACTCCAATGTAGAGGGTAAGTGAACATCGGTGCTATTTGGCTGAATTATATGGAAAAAAGTCATTAACTGCACTGAAAAGTTTATCACACGAATTTTGAACATGTAGATACACAAGTTGAATGAATTTAACCATGCAGAATCTGATTCTATACAGCGTGACATGTTTTTAGCAGAACTTTAGATTGAATACAAGTGAAATATCAATAAAATCATTGAAATAATCAGTTGTAGTTTATTCGTAGGATAAATGATTCTTTATCGTGAGCTGAACTTATCTTATTCAAATCAATGAAGGCTTATTATCCATATAATATTAATTAGGGAGTTCAGAGCAGATTGATTATATTTGGAACTGAGAACCAATTATTATAAAAATTGTAACTGATGAACAGAATACTTGCTTTTGATGTATTTCAACTCGATTCGTAGAATTTTATTTCATTTCTGTGCTACGTAGAATAGCTATTTATGATATGAGTGTTAAAAGTAAGGCTTTATTTTGTGAGTGAAAAAGTTTACGAAACGAGCGTAGCGAGTCGAGCAATTTCACGAACAAAATAAAACTGACTTATAACACAAATATCATACAAAGTTTTTTGTACAACTGTCCTGTTTTCATAACAAAATAGATAAATTTGATATTTCTATAAAAACACATTTTGGCATCTCTTGTCAGTTAACTATTTTCATGTTATCGCATTCTCTTATACCTTTGAACACGTCTAGAGGTTTATTAATGAGGCGCCATATAAAAAATATTTGACGGTAGAAGTTGCTACTATTTTCGAAATATATATGGAGCGTGCCGGCGTGAACAGCCATGCTATTTATTAATAGAAGACATTAAATTAATGGATGAATCATTGATTGTTCAAATTCCAAATACAAAAACGAAAATAGGTCGTTTTTTTGCATTGTTGGAAAAAACTTCGACTATTTTAATAAATACGTTCCATTACGCCCTTCTGTTATAAATCATCAACGTTTTTTTCTGAAATACTCAAATTATAAATGCAGTGCCAACCCAGTTGGTATGAATACGTTTGGGAAAATGTTCTCTACCATTGCTGAGTTTGTGAACCTACCAGAACCAAAGGAATATACAGGTCACTGTTTCAGAAGGTCTTCTGCTTCTTTGCTAACAGAATCAGGAGCAAATATAACATCGATCAATATCATTTTTGCTTTGTGTATTGGAGTTTTTATCAAAACTGATGTAAGTTAGTGAACTGATATGTACTTTTCATTCAAACTTTCCAGTCAAAATATTTGCTTCGAAAATATTTTCAGTCTAAAAATAATTTATCACAATTGCAATTCAAAATCGTTAATTATTACTATTATTGTAATCAACCTAATTTTTTTTTCAGATTTCTACTGATACTTTTCAAAATGGATATAATATATATTCGTCGCTATTTTGAGAGCAAAGCCGTCATTTGAGATGCCATTGATCAACAACGACTACAGCTACAATATCACTGCTTTCAGAATTATTCTTCAAGCAATTTTACCATCAAATTTCTCACTCAACGTGTCAAACGAAGAACTTCAATGCTTGATTGAGCAAAAAAGAAAAAGGTTTGTATATAGTTATGGGTCATTTTTGCATATTACTTGTAAGAGATAAATATATTAACAACCTTCGAGTAAAGCGTAAGAAATCACAAAATTCATCTACCTCTATATGTACCTATTGGAAGAAATGGTGCAAAGGGTCTATTCTTTGGGGAAAAGTGGTTGAAACTGTCTTCTTGCATCTAGGATTTACAAAGAGAAGTTTACCGAAAGAAGACAACCAGATGGAAGGAAATTTCAGGCTCTAATAACAAGATTTGAAAGAGGTGGTAATGTCAATCACGATAAGTTCGAACGTGTCTGCCCTGTAACAAATGAAGAGAATACATTCCAAATTGCTCTTCATCTTTTTGAAAATCCCCATGTGAGTACCCGAGACCTGAACAGGGAAGTAGGATTTCCTTAAACCAGCGGGTCTCGAATGATACGAGCAATCAAATTTCATCCTTACCACATGCAATTGATGCAAGAGTGAAGAGGAAGAGATTTTGAAAAATGTGTTCAATTTGGGGCTTAGAAAAGATCAACCAGGAAAATGATATTATTCGATTTCGGCATAACATGCATTATTATGCAACGGAAAACTCCAATTTTGTTCGTTGTCCGTATTTTTTGGATGGGCATCTCACTGGAAAAAAATATGTAAGAGTTCTTCAACATGAGTTTTCGAATTTATTGGACGGAGTTCCATATGGAACGAGACTTAGAATGTAGCTACAACAAGATTGTGCACCATCACATGTTAAAACTGTGTTACCGAAATACCTCAACGATCATTTCAATCAAAAATGGATAGGTAGGGGTTGGCATGTGGCGTGGCCAACCAGATCACCTGATGTGACCAAAATGGATTTTTTATGGGGGTATATCAAATGTATTGTCTACCAAACTCCTCCAACATCTATAGAAGACATGAAACGAAGAATCACTACAGCTTTCAGGGAAATCCTTGAGAATATGCTGGAACGCGTAGAGAATTAGTTTTGGACGTTTAGGCGTTATTCATATCGAACAAATTTTGAATAGGTGAACGTAAGTAAATGATTATTTTGTGGTTACAATAATTAGGAAAACTAGGTGTTTTTCGTATAGTATACCTCTGATAAAAAATGTAGTGAAATGTTGAAGTTCCTATAAATTTCATTGGACCATTGTACTGTTTTCCAGGATAATTACCTTTTTTCCCATTCAATCGTCTTTATATCTGTTACGGTTTAGTAGAATATAGCAATGTTACCACATGATTGAAGAAACGGCCTATATATTAGGATGTATCATCAGCAGACATTTTCTTCTTTCTTGACAAATTTCGGTTGAATAAGGGATTGATATGATTAAAAAAAGTACCGGACCAAGAATAGATCTTTGAGGAATATCACGTATAATAGTTTTGCCAATACTCAAATGATGCCTTTTATCTCAGTAAAATTTTGCGATTAACGGTCTCTTTCAAATCTACGGTAATACATGTAGTATAACATACATTCGTTTTCTATCGCATTATAGCTTACAGCTTACAGTATGAACATTGATTCTCGTTTCTTCTTCAGTATCAAAATGATCGCCCCTCCTGACAACTACACATCGGACTGTGGAGGAGAAGCCCTAATGGATTTGGTGAAGAACTACTCTGACAACTATCACTTTTACTGTTCAGTGTTAGTGTGTGTATTCGGAAGTGTTGCTAACGTCCTGAACATTGTGGTCCTCACGCGGAAGGACATGGCTTCCGCCCCGATAAATAGAATTCTCACAGCTCTAGCCATCGCTGACATGCTGCTAATGATTGAATACATTCCGTTTGCATACTACTATCACTTGGAGTTATTCAAGAATAGGGATTTTCCCTACTACGGGGCTGTGTTTATGCTATTCCACAATCACTTCGTGCAGATTCTTCATTCCATATCAATATGTCTCACGCTGACTCTGGCGATTTGGAGGTTCATGGCCATCGGGTGAGTTTTACCAATACATTTTTAGTATACTCATGACGGAAGCTGATTCTTGATGAGAGTTGTTCAGACGCATTTCAGAATGTATAGCAATTTGAAACCCGAAAAGGTAACTGATTCATTTGAAATATCATCAAGTTTTTCTGTGACCTCAAGTACTTTCCTGGGGACTACATATATCGAATAATAGATTTTCATGCTGATTTTCAACTAGAGGTGTTATTAAATGAGTTGGATACAATTTGAAAATTTTGTGAAATAAATGAAACATGAGGAACAATGAGTAGGTACTTCATTTTAGGTCAATAGCCAGCGAGCAAGTTTGAACAATACATTTTTCTCAGTATAGCATGATACAAAGCGATTTTTGAATGGAGCTAGTTGGACCGATTTCATAATGTAGAAATTCCAGAAAAGAATAAATGAATAGCGATTAGCGATTATAGTCTATCCATTCCCAATTGGAACGGAAATAAGAGCACTACGAGGGGTGTTCATAATCACTGCCCGGCAAATGGAAAATGTATATACTATTAGTGCTTTAATGTTCAAAGCATCCCTAGTACAGTCATGAATATTTCTTGCCTGTGGCCCCTAGTCGCCCAGATAGTCAGTAAACGTGCTATCAAATGTAGTTGAGGAATAAAAGCTCGGCTAGCTGGACTGGCTGAATACTAATTTTTTGTCCGTTTCACAATATTTCATTATTGATTCGATATGTGAAACACGGGGTCATATTCTCTTACGTTTGCCTCCATACTATTGTGTGTTCAATCCAATTGAAATGGTTTGGGCCACAATGGAAGAAAGCTTGCGGAAATGTAATCAGTCACCGACTTTGAATGCTGTGGTGATTGACAATATAAGGCGAGTGGTGAATGAAGTAGGTAATATTGATGTGTGAAAGAACTGTGTGACCCACGTTATAAAAGAAGAGAACAAATATTTGAATTAAAGGGGTTATATTTTCAGGATTGATTAATTTTTGGGAAAGATGGAGTAGTAGAAAGCCAAAAACTTTCTTTCCCAAAAAAAACAAATATTATGTGCAAAGTTCCATAAATCCGATCGTTATTCAACCCGATGATGATTCCACCTCATCCGAATATAGCGAAGAAGAATTTTGATTTTTCTAGTAATTTTCTTGGCCTCTATCATTTTGTAAATATATGTTTGACGAGAATTCGGTGTGATTATTTGTGTTTTCATTGTATTTTAGAGTTTTCGACTCGAAAATCAACTACCTTAAACTTCGAAGTTTTCAATAATCACCCATGGTGGAAAAATTCAGTTGAGATAAAATTTTCATGAAGTGATCAACTACTATGATTGTAAGAATGAGTAACTGAAACACTACCACTGAAAAATATTATGCCGACGCCTATGTCGAGGCGGGAATTTCTTCTCTGTGCTGTTCCAATTGGTATTTGAAATACTATACCAAGTTTTTCTGTGACCCCAAATACTTTCCTGGGGTTTCAGATATCGAATGATTGACTTTTATGCTGGTTTCAAACTAGAGGGAGGTGTTTTTGAAAGAGTTGGATAAAATTTAAAAATTTTGTGACATAAATGAAACATGAGGAAAAATAAGTACTTCATTTTAGGTTATTAGCCATCGGGCAAGTTTCAACAATACATTTTTCTCAGTTTATTCAGAAAGTAGAAATTCCGTAAAAGAATAAATGAATAGCGATTTTTTCATTTGAAATATCGTCAAGTTTTTCTGTGATTCTAAGTATTCAGCCTAAGGGGCTTATTTCAGTACAAAGCTAGTTTTGAAGTAGTTGAAAGAATTATCAAAATATTTGGGTGGAATCAAAACGTATTATGAAATTAAAATTAAATTGATAATTGAAATAAATTTCAAATTTTATACCATCTGAACATAGATTTGTGGGCATCAATTTGGTATTGATAGAAATACTATCTAACCAAACATAACATTTTCCTAGGAATACTTACTGAATCAGGAAGCCGTTTGTGATCCAGTGGCGTGTCATTGGGTTATCCAGAAATGGAAACCTGTAGCTGTTGTAACAAAGCGGTGCAATTTCATTTGTTACTGAAATGTTGTGTTTGTCACAAATTGTTTCATCACACGTGCGCTAATATCACTTCATCAGAAACTAGGCTGATTAATTCTAAAAAATCGGTAACTTGGACATGCCAAAAATGCGACCAGATTGGTAATGATATCAACTCATTGAAGGCGGCTATAGTTGCTCTTCAAGATGAGATTAAAAACATCAAGCCCGTTGATAATACAACACTTAATAATACTCAGTTCGAGGAAGTCATCCAAGAGGTTTTTGAAAGACAAAACCGACAACGCAATTTGATTATTTTTGGCATGGAAGAAGAATCATCGGCTGTCTCCAAAGAAGAACGAGTCTCCTCTGAAAAAAGTGAGGTATCAAAATTACTATCGTACCTTCCTCCTGGGGGAAAAAAGTGAGGTATCAAAATCACTATCATACCTTCCTCCTGGGACCGACTTACCTATCACATATATGCATAGGCTGGGTAAATTTGATAAGGACCGGACTTCCCCTCGTCCAGTGAAAAACACTCTAACTAATAGCAAGGATGTTCTAGAATTGATTATGAAGGCACCAAACCTAAAAAATTCGACATTCAAGCACATTTTACTTTTTTCGACAAAACACCCAAACAGCAACAATTCTATAAACAGCTCAAACAAGAAGTGGAACAAAGAAAAAATAACGGTGAAACTAATATCAGAATCAAACACTTCAACGGCTCTCCAAAAATAGTGAATTTTTAAGCACTACACCCAGTTACAACTTCAAATGTTATTACCAAAACGTGCGAGGGCTAAACACGAAAACTAATGACTTCTTCAACGCAGTGAGTTCTAGAGAATTAGATGTTATATGTTTGAGTGAAACTTGGCTTTCCAGTAATGTTTTTGATGCAAAGCTTTTCCCAAGCAACTACAATATCCCAAGATGTGACAGAAATTTCAGCCAAAATATTACAAATAAAAAATCTAATTCAAGATATTTATTCACTAAATAAAATATTCCTGAACATTTCCATGTTACAAATATTAGAAATGTATTTAAGTTTGGATGATCTACTCTCAAAAAAATGTATACTGAAATAACAATTCTGTGAATTCATCAGCACTAATTGAAAAATAATAAATATATCATTTCATTGAAAAAGAAAAAATGTATAACATGAAGAAATGAGTGAGATATAGGTTTCTCACTTCAAAAAGTAAACCCAGAAATGAACTTTTTCAAATGAGGGGTATGATGGGGTCTTCGATGAATTTCACTTACTTGAAGTTATCCAAACTTTGCTCACCAGAAAAGTTTGCCTGATTTTTGTCCAACAATGCATCAGTCACTCTTTCATTATTGATACCCGGAACGCATTATCACTATTTGAAAGTGGCAAAACAAAATTGGAATAAAAATCAAATAGATATTTTTCTCATAGGTTCCTTATGAACATTTACAACTTTTTATGACCTGGAGAATAACTTGCATTCCCGTTGTTGAAAAGTACTCATTACGTTTTCAGGTTCTTGGCCAGGTACCACTCCTTTTCCTTTTGGGCATATTGATAGGTACTATCTTGAAAAAGAATGATAAAAATTATGAAAACAAATGATACAAAAGAATGTGTAATTTACTTACTTTTCTCTACTGAAGATACACTACTGAAATCAGTCTCGTTTAAACATGTACTTAGTCAAACCAACAAATCCCCCACACCAACTCTCCTGGGGCCTAAAATGAGGTATTGTAGGTTAAGCACCATGACTTTATCATCGATACTATTGTCTTTTACTTATTTTTCTCAGAGACTGAATATGTAACTCTACTGTTCGAAGATGCAAAAGCAAAAGTTGCTGAGGTGTGTACAGTTTTCTGGTTTGGAACAGTGTTCCGCAGAAAGCGGAATTGTCTGACCTGACATTATTATATCCCATTCGGAGACATTTATACATCCGCTTGTGTTAGTGGTGGAATTGTGGATTCTGTAAAGTTCTAATTAACAGCTTCAGCTACCGACCAGAAGGACCTAGACCCGTTGGGATTGGCAAGCAATTTATCATTGAAATTATATGACATTACCTACTTGCCACCTCACTGACAAAACTTCAAAAGTTTTTTTAAATACTTGAAACTCCGAACTACCAAGATGGAAAGTAATCAAAGTTTTTAGAAATCCCAAACACTCCTGACTTCTATTACCATCACCCGGAATCTTAATTTCTCCTCAAACACCGAATGAATGATAATCCCACAATATCTGCACGATAGTCTAGATATATGAAAACATGTTGAACTTCTGTTTGAAAATTGTTGAGGACATATTATTAAAAAACACCCCTTGTATGTAGTTATTATAACCCCCCTTCAGGCTGATTTGATCTTTCCACTATATGAGTTTCAAAGATCGTTAAATTTTTCTTCTTTTCTCAAATATTCACTTTCGAAGTGATACAATATAATCTTTCAAATGAATTTTAAGTATTCTTTGGAATCTTTTCAGAACACACAAATTTGTTCAGTTGGAAAAACTTTTGAAAACCTCTGGAACGAAACTTGGAGTTTAGCATCTTCTGCAATTCTATAATTAATCTTCCTTGTTAATTGAAAAGTCAGTTTACCCAAGGTACGCCCTTAGAAAGTTTTCCCGATGCTTCTGTTTGAGAACGAAAACGCTTGGAGTTTGTCCCCGGGGACACTCTTGTTAAGTTGGGGACAATCTCTTTATTGAATTGAAAGATGAGAAAACATTTCAAGTCGTTACGAAAGAAATCTCGAATAGTGAAAAATCCTTTCGAGTCTCTTCATTCACTCAGGAAATGAGATGAAGGAAAAAACTAAATTATCGTGTGTAAACTGGAATGACTTCATCCAACCTGAATATTGAGTAGTCACGTATTGAAAAGGTATTACAAAAAATGTGAAAATATCACATCGCAATTGTTTCAATGTTCGAAACGAAATGAATTTCTT